ATTAGGTGTAGTAAAAAAAAATCCATTATTTTTCCATTCAATTTCATGCAAAAATAATAGATTTATTTTTACTACACCTAATATATATATGTATATTGATTGACTTGTATAATCATTTACAATGAAAGAGCAATTTTTTTAAATATTAGAAATATACACTTTGAAATTATTTTATCTTAAATAATTAATTAATAATTGATATTAAATTTACAACGAGTAATCAATTGTATGTCATCATCGCAGATTCATCGAAAATTATTGATTTTGATTTTACCAAAGGAATAATAATTACTCCGTCAACTTCAGACAGTAAGACGTCATCTGTTAGCAAATTTAACATTACATCTACAGTAACAAACACGACAACAATTTCGCATATTTCGGAAAGTCAATTTCCTACTTTACAACCAAATAAACATGTGATTCCCCTCCCAAAAAACAATTGTGTGGACACATGCTTTGAAAAGATTTGTACTGCGAAAAATTTAGGTAAAAAAAAATGTTTTTTTTTCAATCAAATTTGTTATTTCTCTTCAATTTTTGACAAATATACATTTAGATACATTTATTTTTAGATATACGATTAGAACAACTAAATCTGAAGACACGTAGAAGACTGCGTCAATGCTGGGAAACTATGTTTGGGCAAGAACTTGCTAAGCTTACTGTCATGGATTTGGTAAAATATAAAACAAATTTTACAAAATCCGAAAGTGGGATCAATAAATATTGTTTATTATATGCATTTTTTAAATATGATTTATATTAGATACTCACTATATTAGCCACTCTCAACATGGATTTCTTTCGCGCTGTTTTCGTGCGTTTTATGAACAATTTCTGGTGCTGGGATTTAGAGAAACAATTTCCGCAATACGGTGACTTCAAAATAGCTGAAAACATTCTCCATTTAGTTAACAATCAAGGCATGGTTTGGATGGGAATGTTCTTCAGTCCTGGTTTAACGGCACTGAATCTCTTTAAACTTGGTGTTCTAATGTATTTACGTTCTTGGGCGGTTTTGACATGCAATGTACCTCACGAAGTAGTCTTCAGAGCGTCCAGGTTAAAATACATTATTTGTGAAAATTTTATGTTACACTTTTCTAGTTTTTACCAAACAAAATTAAATAATTAAAACGAGCGTGTTTAAATATCACGCACTGTATTTAAATTCTTCCTTTAGTTCTATGTGCATTTATCTATATTTTTTTACCCACAATTATTCGCTGCAATCATTTTTACATATTATAGGTCTAACAATTTTTACTTTGCGCTGTTATTGACTATGCTGTTTTTGTGCGTATTGCCGGTCGCTTACGCTATAGTCTGGGTCGAACCTTCGTGTTATTGTGGTCCATTTTCTGGTTATTCAAAGATTTATAATTTAGCTACGCAAAGTTTGATAAACTCGCTCCCGAAGATAATCCAACGGTACGTTCTCTTTATAAAAGCATTTACGATGCAAATTTATTTGATTGCTTTTACGATGCAAATTTATTTGAAATTTAGATTATCTTTTGTTGATTACAGTCAAAATAATTATGCATCTCAATCTATATAATCTATTGCAAACTTTATTCTGATTTAGAGTTCTTGATTACGTTGCATCGCCTGGTATAGTAATACCATTGATTGTTCTCATGACATTGATTATTTATTATATGGCATCTCTCACTGGATCTTTGCGAGAAGCGAATAACGATCTAAAGGTAAAACTATACAAGGTGATCCAGACCAATCGCAGAAACCGGCATGTATGTTCCTCATGAAAAACTGAGTCGAAAATGTTAATAGCAAAATGTTGAGATGTCAATAGTTTTTGAATAGTGAGTTTTGAAACCATCCAACTATGTGTGTGTATAGAGTGTAAAATTTGCGCTAGTAGGCGCGGTGCAATCAAATGACCGACTGCAATCGCGTTTTGACAGATATTGTTAAACGTCACTCATTCATGTTGAATGAGTATTGAAATTTCCATGAAATTTCTATTAACATCTATTGCTGTATTCTTAAATTGAGCTCAATTTAATTGACGACGGGTAATTTCAATTGCAAATTCGATGAAATATAATTAAAAACTGAACTGTGTATTTTTAAAATACACATTTTAAGTAATAAACAAATATTAATAAATTAAATCAATATTAATTAAATTATCCGAACAAATAATAGTAAAGACAAATATTTCCAAAACTTTTTTTCAAATAGTTCTGTCATAAACAATATTAGAAAAAAATTTACATTTGAAATTTGTATTTGATATAAATAAATATTTCATATTGATGAAATGAAATGAACGAAATTCCGAATTGAAACGATATAAGAAAAAAAGAAAGTATTACAATAAATGAATCGAAGTAAGCAAATAATAAGCTGTATTGTTGCTAAAAATTACATTAAAATGTAATTTTATTATTATTAAATTTTTTCTAATATTGTTTATGACAGAACTATTTGAAAAGAAGGAAATGTTTGTTGACTGGTGTTTTTAATATTATTTATTTAGATGATTTAATTAATATTAATTTAATTTATTAACAATTGTTTATTATTTAAAATGTATATTTCAAAAACACATATTTTTAAATAATGTTTTATCGAATTTGCAATTGAAATTACTCCTCGTCAATTAAAATTAATTTAAGAATGCAGCAGTAGATAATTTAATAATAGAGATTTCACGGATTCTATTCAATATTCATTCAGCATCGTGACGTTTAGTGATATTCGTCAAAACGCGATCGTGACCGGCCGCTTGATTACATCACGTTTGACAGTGCGAACTTTTTTACACGCCGTGGTTTCGAAAGCTCATCATTCAAAAATTATTGACATCTCAACATTTTGCTATTAACATTTTCGACTCAATTTTTCATGAGAAATATGTACATGCCGACTCCTGTAGTTGGTTTGGATCCTGTATAAGGGAATATGCGTATATAGAGTATAAAGCTTCATTAAATTGTGTATAATATTTTAAATTGTGTTTAATATTTTATGCTTAATTGTTATTTCTAATATTTATTATTTATTATTATTGTTATTATTATTATTAATTTTATACTTATTATATAAATGTGTTGTTTTAGATGCAACTACGACAGGAGCGTACAGAAGAACGTCGAAAATTATTTAAAATAGCAGAGAAGAAGCATACCGTAGCTGAGGCTCCGCTATCGAAGTGGAAAAAGATCCTTCCAGCGTTGCCACAGGTCAAAATATCTCAAAATTCCGAAACAGTTCAAAAGGAAAATGTACAGATCTCAATTGGGAACGTGAATACAGTGGTAGGTACAATTGAAAATAAAGATTTGATGAATGACACCGAAGAATATTCAGGTCAGGATCAAGTACTGTCCAATTATGACAACGAGCAACGAGTTGAAGAACAGAATGGTTTGATATCAAATGATAAATCTTCTAATAGAAGGTATGATAATAACAATTAATTGCAAAAATGAAATTGGCAAGCTTTTTTATGCAAGCTTCTAATGAATAGATTGCATAATTAAAAATATGTTTATATGTTGCTGAATTATGCATAAAAAATAATTTTCATAAGCAGATTGACAAACGTGGTTGGATGTTCTTGGGACTCACCATCGAATAAACAAAGTGTTATCATACCAGAAATCCAAGTAAACAATGAAGAAAAAATATCCGACGTTTGCGCAAACATTGAATTGGATGATGGCCCTGAAAACGGCAATCAAGAGATAACGTAACAAATTGAGTGTAATATAAACTATTTAAAAAAAAAATGAAAATAATAATTTTGTAAGGATCTGAGAAATGCGATTTCTCAGAATTCTGTTTTGTACTAGTTCATAAAAAAATATTAAAAGAGAATTATCTTTTGAATCTTTAGAATTATAGATTAGAATTATAGAATTATATAGATTTAGTATTAATCATCTCATTCTTCAAACATATAATACAGCATATAATATATTGCGCTTTTATGTGATTGTAGATTTTCTGAAAAATAAAATTTGTAAACACCTTGTAATTATTCATTTATTTCTACAAATATATGTGTGTAAAATATCTATAAATATTTATAAATAACTATCGCACATTGCTGAAGACCTGAAACAGCTATCTCTAAACTTTTGGATTTGTGACGGATTCATAGAAACGCACACTGTACACGCAAAATCACATTTTGATTGAGCATTGGCACATTCCTAATACCTTTATCTTATCAGACATTATATTAAATAAACATTGAGCTATGTTCCGAGATTATTTATACATCAATATATCCTGCATGTACAAAAATATATTCTCCTCACCAGCAAACGTACGATTTAATCTCACATTAGTATAAATTAATTATACATTATTCTTACGTAACGACCATTTAAAAAATCCATCAATATCGAGGAAATTAATTGTAATTAATTAATTAAAAAATGAAGGAAAAAATTGTGTTATGTTATATTGCACACTGGTTACAAATTATCTTTGCATTTGGATAACATTTTTTCTTATCGATAAATATTAGTTTTTCAAAATAGTTAGTATTTGTACAAATCGTCATGTACGACGCAGAATATATCAGCATCTTTGCGCCAAGCGCTTACGCTGCTCATCGAGAAGCATGGATGCCTCACTCATAATTTTAGCAGTAGTTCGTACCAAGAATAATAATTGATATTCATCTATAACGGTCAACGCTGCTTTCGTCTTGATGAGAGCGTGAAGTACGTTCGCTCGTTCGAGGTCGAGCCATCTTTGAAGCGCCACTTCTCTTTCCCGTGGACCACCAAGTGGCACATCGGCCGGGCCCCACAATGAGAATTCCAACACGGATTTCACCTAATTGCCAAAAGAATTAAATAGTAATTTTATCCGAAGGATGCAGATTGTGCTGGCGACTAATAAATTTAGTCTAGTAAATCTAGACTAGTAAATTTAGTAAGTACAAATATGAGACACATATAATAGCAATGTAAATGCAAATAACAAGACATTGCTATATATGCTTTTTGATTAGTTTAAAAAGACATGCAAATTTAATAATTAAAAAAGATATAAGTATGTAGGCATGGTAAAATAAATTTATAATTAAATTGGAAATATTTGTACGTCCTGCGAATTAGAATCAAATAGAAATAAGTTTTCACCTGCGAGAGTGTAACCGCTTTCTCACGTATCAGTAAATCTTGTATGAGAGGTAGTTCGTCCGTCAGATGCAACTGTTGCAGTGCTATTAGAGCGCATTCGCACAAAGAGACCCGTTCCTCACTAGACTCCTCGCTCGGATCTATGTTTAACCTCCTGCAAAACGGAAGTTAAACATTGAATAACGGGATCGTGGAGATCCGACGATTATATTATTATACTGCGTCAAGTTGTCATTACACGAGAAAATACTAACCCTTGGAGGAGGTACAGTCGATAATAAACATCCTCTCTGCAAAGTACAACATCATTTAGAGATTTGCTTGCATCCTCGATTCCACGTGCTTGAAGACTCTTCAGAGCGTTGACCAGTTGAAGAAAAACGAACGACGTTTCTCTGCTCGCGCCCTCACCACTTATGTCCTTCGACATCGCTCCAAATGATTGTATGGTAATGACATTCAGGCATGGAAGAATTGAAATTGTAGCTAAAACAAGAGAATTATTGTTAAATATATAGTAATTTATATTTTTTAATATTTTTTTGTCGCGAAATTTCAACATGTATTACTTACCTTCGACATCCTCGTTTCTGGAAGGCTGAACCTTTTCAATTATTTCTTTTGGCACCTTATCTACAAATTCTATTATAGGTGTTAAATAAAAATCCTTTTGTGGCATAGGCATAGCTAAATCAAATGCTATGCAAAGAGTGACGTTTTGATCATTCCACGTAGCAGGACAAAATATTCTTCTACCGATGGAGACTGATAACAAAGTATCGACGTTAAAATGCTTCAATCGGGGATTCGCATTTTTAAGGGCACGCAGACTTGAAGGAAACTGAACAATTTGATTTTCCTGAAAAGACGTAGTCAAAAAAAAAATCACCTTTTATTATTTTATTGCTGCATAACAAATAGATGAAGAATTTTGAATTTAAAATATCATTAAGAATATTTCCTTCAAGGAAATTAACTACTCTTCTTGAGTAGTTCTGTGGTAAAGTCTGTAAAGACATAAAGTCTAGCTACTCCTACAAATTGAGGATAACAAAATCTGTGCACGAGAGATCGAGAAGAAACTCGTTTGTATGGGTTTCAGGCAAACAAGAACATACAACGGTAAATAATTACAATATAGAGCTAACCTGTTCAAGAAATTGGGCGAGTGCTTCGTGATTCGCCACAACCACCGCGCCGTAATTATCCTCGAGGCTTCGATGAACGATAGTGCGCCCCCGGCGTTGCCTCAAGCGGCCCATCCTCAGCTCATCATCCGCGTTTTTCCAATCTTGATCCTCCTCGGCGCCCTGGAGTTCACGAGCGTTCGATTAAAAAGGTATGTTTAATGGGAACAAAATGAAAAAACATAAACTCTGAAAGCGTACTTCGTCACCAGTATAGAAGGTATACGGCGCGTAAAGTTCGCTCTCCGTCTCGCTGCCACAATACGGCAATGAGATCGATCTCACGAACGAGAGTTGATGATGAGCCTTTGACTCCCCGATTATTGCACTGCTGTCGGACTTCCTTTTACATGCGGCGCGGAATCCGTTCCCGCTTCCGTGTCGCAGCTCAAGATTCGAATCGCACTCGGGCGAACTCGAGAGGCACTCGTACATATGACTGTCGTTGGATATCTATTGAAATGCAAGTAATTACTGCACTATCAAATCGCTATTGAGATGGTTCCAAATGATATGGCGCATATTTCACTGGATATAAATTTTCTTGCCATTTCTTTCTCTTGAATTTTTAGAGAATTCTTATATTATTATTCTCTTGTATCTTTTTTTATTGATGAATAAAAGAAAAAAATAACACAGACATATTTTTGACAAAAAAATGTGACGTTGATGTTACCAATTTTATATATAAATTCTAAAAGTGAAGTTTATTTCAATCTGCTTTCCTTTAAAGATATTATCCATCACTTTCCCTTTAGCGTTTTTTTTTCCTATTTCGTTTGATAATAAAAATATGTACAGGAAATGACTGCAGCAACAATTACAAAACAATTATCTTCTTTTCGCTGTTTATCTTTCCGTATAAGATTTATGAACATTCGTTTATATATAAAGAATTAAAGAATACTGGATGCAGCGTGTGAATATTGTTCATATTAATATTTTCATGCTGCAGTTCAATAATAGTAATCGATTCACATTCAATCTTTGCATGTATGTCGTCTGGAGCCGGCTTTAGACAGACTGATTTGTAGAAAAGCCTCTCTTACCGGTGACTCGGAAGTGGGTCGTGCAGTGGCGAGCCTGTCGTAATCCCGGTGCTGATCTTCAGCCGACGTACCCAGTGACCTTTTCGTGACGGGTTGGGAAATTGCTCGATCTCTCATGCTGGCAGTTCTTTGGGGTTTCGAGGGTGTCAGGGCACTGCGTACCTCACCTGTAACATCCTCCGCTGCTGCAGGCACGATCCGCCATCGTCAAGCGCCACGGGTTAGTATCACAAGACACAAGGCATGTCAACGAAACGGGCTAGCTATCCGGGCTTAGATAGTTCGCCTAACACACTACTGGGATACACTACTGGAGGAACATTCGCGCAACGCAGAGTCAAATTTGACGTAGCGATACGATGGACGTTAGTTCACTCATGGCTCCACGTATGTAGATTAATCGCTAATGAAAATTATTTTTTTTTAATATCCAAATAATCTCTAATACAGAGTCTCTGATCTAAACCTGATTTTATGAGCACTCAAGCGTTGATGCGGCTAACGTGGACCATGCGAGGATACATCTTTCCGTTGACGAAGCTTTCGAGCAACGTCTATCACGCTACAAGCGAAAACGGGCATTGGGATTGGGGGGGACGAATAACATAGCACATACGGCATCTTTTCTTCCTTCTACGGGTGGGAATCTTCGACTTTACATTATGTATAGCTAAATTATAATTGAATTTACAAGACTCCTTACAAGATATCGATCATCACAGTGCATGCAATGCGTGCGGCGTTAGTTGCACCCAGCGTCGGTTAGAGAAGTCCTCGACTAACGTTGCTCGTGGTACGCACCGTTACGTAACCACTGCAGAAAGAGGAAAAAAAAAGAAAAAGAGGAAGAAAACGGAGAGAGACGTGAACGCGGATATGCGCGCGATTTATGCTTGAGTAGTCGCGCTTATGTTGGCGCGATGGACGTCGCCGTTGTTCGCGTTAATGAGAGAAGAAGGAGACAGAAAGATGCGGAGGTGCAACGAACAAGCCACAGCATCGGGAATTATGTACCGTACGGCGTATGTGAGACGGCGCGATCGAAGAGAAAGAATGACTAAGAGAGCCGAATAATTGGAAAGAACAAGACTCTAAATTTCTTTTTAAACAATATACGTTTATTCATCAGATACAAATATTCGATATTACAGTTCTTGTCTTTTACAGTTTACACTATTACAAAAAGCATTTCGTCGACAAATACAACAAATAGCACAAATAACATTATATTTAACCAGCCATTCTCAAACTTTATATTGTAATCTTACCGCGGAAACTTGCATTGCAAAAGCATGTGTCTCAACAATAAAAAGCTATAAGCCTTCGATCGATATTGCTTAATATTACATTACGTGAAACG